ATCCACAGTGACCTTTTCCGCGAATTTATCTGCCCATCTGTGCCCGCAACCCTGCACTCCGTCGCTCGGTGTCATTCGGGCTTCACCCGAGCGACTACTCGGCTCTGAACTTCTGACCCTGCACTCCACGCCAGGACAAGCTAAGCTGCAATGTGTCCTTGTGCGGTCAACAGGATCTCGTCCTGCGACAGAACTAACTGACCATACACCTGCAAACAGTGTGCCCACATAAACTTATAGTCACTCTAGTGACTTGCGAAAGGTCTATATGAAGCACGGCAGTCGTTGCCACATGGAGCATGCCACATTGCTCCGATGATAGAAAGACGCGGGGCCACCCTCTCAATATCCGCCGTCCTTCAGGCTCTCAGGAGAGGCGCACCCTCTCAAGCCGCAGTGCAGGCAAAGTGAACCGGGATGCACTTCATGCCGCCGTGCTTGGTCCAGGAGCAGCCAGGGCTGAGCAAGCCCAAAACATCACATAGCCAGCGTAAGATTCGGAAAGGAGGGGGCGGCCCTCCCGAAACATCCAGGCATGGAAAGGATCGCCACGCCACCAGCGCTCTGTTCCTTGTCGGTGCCGTTCGACGTAGCCAGCGTGCACGTGGAAAGGAAGCAGCGGATCATCGACGGGCCGGTAGAAGCAGAAACCTGCAATGACAGCTCCCAAATCCCCTCCAACCCCAATGAGAACCTGCACAAGTCAAAGAGCAAAAACCTTTGGGCCTTCTTCCACCACAACATTTTGTGGAGTTCTTCCAGAACCCCATCCTCACCCCAATTACAAATGTAAAGCTGTTGTAGAACCCTAAACCCTAAACTCCTCGAAATCGAAACCCCTTTGTTCAAAAAAGCAGACCTTGGATCTTTGGCCCATCGCCGAAGGGCTCAGGGAAGGGCGCGCTGCCAATGCTCGAAGCCTGGAGAAGGGATTCGGCAGCTGGGGGAGGTTGCATGCTTTCCTTTTTTGGGGGGTGGGTTTATAGCCTTGTTTGGGTGGTGGGTCACCCTAGACCCTAAACCCTAAACATAGGCTTGGGTAGAATCCCAGGTCCACGGCATGAGGCTTTTGGCATCGCTTCTTAGCTTCGGTCCCCAAGCAAACCAACCTCCAAGCCCTATATGGACCCAAACTGAGGGCTAGGGAGAGTCCGCCAGGAGTCGAGGTTTCAGATTCTGTACAGAAACCCTGAAAAGTCCGTCTGAGGCTGCGGGACGTCAGCATCATGCAGCACTCGAAGCTGAACCTCGGCCTCACTAAAGCTGTCCGCATGTTCAACAACGGCAGCTTAGGCAGGGTTTGGGAGTATCGTGCGTTTCAGGTAGTATGTAGTTATCAGCAATGCTGGATAGCCTTCTGCTTGCCGTCTAATTGTGTTCGATCGCTAATTATACCGAAATCATGAGGCTTAAACTGCAAGCTACCAAGCCCGCAACCTGGATTTCCTGGTTTTCTGCACTGAACTCTAAGGATCACTGGACGGGGAGTAGATTATACGAATACCAATGCAAGTACCCCGATAAGCACCCACCTTAAACCCGAAAATCACATTCAACCTTACGCCTCATCTACAGCGGTTGTCATTATGACCCGGCGAGTCACTACGTCCCTGGATCCATTCAAGCACGTTAAACCCTAAACCCTAAACCCAAGACCCAAAACCCAAACCCTAAACCCTCCCTGGACCCTGTCAAGTACAGAACTGAGACTCCAACAGGGCGTGGATGGTGTCTGCAGGGGAAAGCCGCCTTGACGAGACTCTGCCTGTGCCAGATGCAAGAGGGAGGTTGCTGGTTATGGGGGGTTGCATCGAGGGTTTCGCTTTTGGGTTTAGGGCATGTTTAGGTTTTGGGGTTTAGGGCTTTGGTCGAATGCTGGGTCACGAACTTGCTCGGCACTGCCTGTTTTGCAGTTGGAAAAACGTCTGATTGAAACCAGCATGGCATAACACACTGCTCTCTACACACTTGGCCACTTGCTTGTTGAAGTTTCGCGGGAGGAATACAGAAACTTGGGAGCAAAGCAAACCTCATACAAATAAAAACAACATCCCGCCAAAGCCCAAAGCAATTAATGTAGGGGCCTCAATAATTGGAATAGGGTTTTGGGCTCTTTCATAATTAGTATATGTAGTTAGTGTAGTTCTACCAAAGAACCCTATTAGGAATGATGTTGTCTTGTCTTGTCTGCGGACTGTCGGGCCCTTGTTAAGGCGTGTCCCAAAAATCTGGCATTGAATTCTGGTGAAACGTTTGCTGGCCGACACTGCCAAAACCGCTTGGTGTGCACACGAGGACCTTCTCGGCTGGAGTTTGCGTTGTGATCGGAAACATTGGTAGCAGACGGCCGGACAATGGCAGCGATATCCGAAAGGAGGATGTCTGCTTCTGAAAGACCAGCAGTGCGGTCATCTGCTGTGGGTAGTCCCGGGCCAAAGGTCCCCCTCCCAAGCCTTGAAACCCTTCCAATTACCTTTCCGGCGATGAAGGGAAGCCGCCTTTTCAGGGGCTTCAAGGTCCAAGATCTGTGCATACGTGAGCGGTGGAACAAGATGAACGGCCTTGCCGAGACAGGAAGTGGAACATTTAAGATGTTGTTGACTCTGCCGGATGGAGCCATAGCATTTAAGGCAGGCAATGCACGCAAGTGACAAAGTGTAAGTTCGTGCTGAGCTGAAGATACGATGTGCTTTAGCCAAATGTGCACGTAAGTGCCTTCCGTAAGGGAAAGGAAGCCTTGCATTCCCAACAACAGTAAGTTTGGAGAACGGGAACAGGATCGGAGACCCGCGTGGCCGGAACCGAAGCCCACTTTAAGTAGGTCTTGCTTGAAAATTTTCTCAGCTTGTGCAATCTGTCGAAACCACCACTCCGGGGGCTCGGCGACAGACTCTAACAGACATGGAATTTCCTGACCATACGGCAGAAAGAATCCAACATCGGGGCGGTTTTGTCGGAGGTAGGCCACGGCAGATTGCAGCTGAGTGAGCCACGAGGAAGCAGGATGCGAAACCCAATGGTCGTGCAACAACACAAGCAACGTGCGCGGGCCATGCTTGAAGAGCCTACAGAGAAAAGAAGCACGAGCTTTCGCCAAGGCCAGCGGAGGGGCGACTGCACGGGCTACATGTAGCACTTCGTATGGGTGCGCCTGGGTCTCTCCACAAGGCTAGCAAGTGTCTGTCCCAGACTCTTTGATGCACTGCAGCGCCAAGCACTAGGGCAGCTCCGGTATGAATATACTTGGAGACAATGAGGGACAGCAACAAAGATCGACTGACGGATAGATCAAAGCGATGCGAGCCAAACAATTTGCGGCTGAGAGGCTGAGCGAAGCGATGGTGCAAGTCGGGCATGAGGGAACAGTTTGAGGTTGTGATCCCACCCAAGTGTTTGTAGGCTTCCACGACAGGGAGCTTGTGAACAGAGCCATCGATGCATTCCGGTACCTGCAGGAAGAACGGAACTTCTTCATCGGAGCAAATGCTGGTGTGTGCTGCGCGGATGACCATGCCAAGAGATCTCGCATGTGTGACAAGAACGGAAACACTGGAAATGACACGTCCTAACTCTTGCTCCGTAGTGCTCCCGGATTGCGGGAGAACATAGTCATAGTCATCATGAAGCTCGGCCCATGGTGGACGGCAAGCGGGGGCATCAAGGAGTGGCTGAAGTCCACTGAGGTACGCTGAGAGCGTCAGTGGTCTCGTTCCCGCCCGGCCGCTGAGTCTGAACCAGGTGCCAGACAAAAGATCAGAAACGACGGCCTGCAAGTGATCATTGGCCCCCCAAGTTGAACAGTTCTGCGAGCAAGCTTAGCTGGCTTAGCTTCCGTTGAACAGCTGCAGCCGGCAAGTCCAGCTTGTGGAGGAGACGCAAGAGCCCAATGCCGGAGCCCGTACGGCGGACAACCAATTGGCGCGGCGCTCTGCGCTGGCCGGGGGGTCGAAGGGGATGACTGCCCATGGGCGTCGAACTCCAGTCTGCCACAACAGGAACGAGCGAACTGCCCATGCGGGAACCTCTATTCCAATACCTTCTCCACGGCCCCTGCCATAAGGTCGAGCTGCGAAGACTTCAGGAGAGGCAAAAGCTGGGCACGGATGCAACGATGAAAAGCCTTACCTGCAACACTGGCAATTAAGATGGAACGGAAGCCATCCTAAGTAGGTGCCGGCCCGGCTTTCTTGGCGCGGGGCGTCCGGTCGTCTTCATCATGACAGGCAGTAGGCTGTCGAGGGGAGTCAGGATCCGACAACTTAAGTTCGGCAGTGATTTTGTCTTAAGAAGTTCGGCAGTGATTCTGTCTGTTCCTGCAGCAGTGCCATTTTCAGACGAAGAATCACCTGTTCAGCCTGCGCCGAGGTAGGCACGACTTCCAAGCAGAAGACCTGATGGAAGGTTACGTTGCTGCCGAAGGCCGGCGACTGAGAACACGGCCTAGGAAAAAGGCCAAAAAAACCCCGTTTGGGGGTCGTACTCAATTGGTCAGTCCCGGCGACGACCCGGGGCCACCGATTCGTTTCTTGGGCGCTCGGGCTGACCAACATGAAACATTGTCCTCCTGCAAAGCCATGCATGGCGATTTGAGGCTAAACTTTTGCACAAAAGGTGGCAAGGCCCGGAGGCGGAGGAGGACGCCAAACACAAACCCAGTGAGTGAACCCCTCGCGAGGACGACAGAAGAGAATCCTCATGAAAACCAAGCCAATTCCCGGAATGGTTCCAAAGGAGACTCTGTGTCGAGGACTGAGAGCGTGTGCTCCGATAGGCATATGTCAGCAAAAGCTGTACATCCCTATCGCCCTATCACTTCTCACTCAGACGGGTGAAAGCCTTGCCTCGATCCCGGATAGAGACCAGAGTGGCCCAGCCGACTAGGAGCAGGGCCATCAAGCCAGTCTGAGCCCGCCCAAACAGACTGTTCGATAGTCCTCTCCGTTGGGATGTGCCGCAATGATGTCCTTCCAGCCCGAGCCTCGTCGAAAAGCATGTGCTATTCAGTACTCGTATTCCACGAAACCGCCGGGTGGCTCCGCCGCATTTTGCTCCTCCTCGTCGTCGGCTATGATCTGCATGGGTTCCTTGGCATTCTGGCCGGCAACGGCTCCAGCTGCCTGCGCAGCTGCCATCGCTGCTTGCCTGGCTGCCTTCTGGGCCTCCTGTTGCAAAGCTTCTGTATGCGCGCGATCGGCCTCCTGCTGAGCTTGTTGGAGTTGGGCCTGCTCTGCTAACAGGGCATCCCTTTTCGCATGAAGCCTGTCCGACAGGTTGATCGACGGGGGCGACTGAGTATGAACTGCTGCAGTTGACTGGCGGCTCGGTCTGGTATGGGTCTCCGGCAGGACGGGGCGATGTAGTCGTATAGGCCGGATTCACTTGTGCACGCTGTACTGGTTGTGCAGTCCGGATGACTGCGGGCGAATGCTGGGCCATCAAAATGGCCCTGGCATGTTCTCACCTTGCACGAGCATCCAGATTGGCTCGAAGTTCCTCATCCATGTCGCCCGTGGTGTCGGCTTCCTGCTCCTCTTGTATGAGAGCTTCCCAAGCTGTGCTGTCGAGTTCCATAGCCCGAACATCCTGAGTTCGGCCCAAGACAGCCTCTTGCACCATTCGATGAACTTCCTCCTGCTCCGTGATGGCAGTCTGGATCTCTGACTTCATCCTCAACACGTCTCTCTCGCGTCGCTTCGGTTCTTTGTTGTATGCCAACTTCATGGCCTGCTGATAGGCATTCCACCTCTGTTGCTTTTCCGTCTGCTCCTTTCGGAGCCGAGCTAGCTTGTCCTCGGCTTAATTTGTCTCCGAGTGGGTCGTCCTTGTCGTCGTAATGTAGTCCTCCCTTCGAAACGGAGGGATCGCAGCCTTCGGTGCCACCTCGCGAGGGAGGACATTTTCCGGGCGAGGGAGGACATTTTCCGATGGCGAGATCGCACTCGGCGAGTGCTGGGGCGCGGCGATGTTCCCAGCAGCTACACCTCGCTGCTGAGGCAATTCGGGGTCTAAGGAATAACATTGGTATTTATTTAAGCGTCCATATTATTGAAACCTATATAAGCCCCCTCTGAGAGTTTTGACTACAAAAACCCCCTCACCTTAACCTCCAAGTGGGCGACAGTCCCCATGCACCCTAAACCCCTAAGCCCTATAAGCCCTAAACCCCTAACCCCTAGATCTTAAGCCCTAAACCATAAACCGTAAATCCTAAACCACAAACCCTAAATCCCAAACATTCGCTGGCCTGGAGCTTCCAGGCGCAGACTACCACAACCTGCAAGTAGCTACAGTAGACCTCATAGAATAAGGGTTTTATGTGGTTCTAAAGCCTTCTAGACTAGAATCAGGTTACCCGTTGCACTACACTTATATTAAGGACCGAACAATAGCCTGACTAATTATTCAAGCCCCTGCACTGACGGCATTGAGAATTCCAGGGCTGGGAGCCATAATGCAACCCTAGATGCCCTAAACTCTACACGAAAAAGGCCCCCTTACAAACCCAAACATGCGCCGAACGGCGACATCTAAGGTCACGGGCCCGATGAGGCCCTGTATAATCGAAATCGGATGTTGGGCACAACCGAAACACAGCCCGCTACTTGATGCTCAAAAGGGAGACCAGGGCCTGATCGCTAGGTTTCGAGATGCAGATTTTGTGTTGTTGTGTTGTTTGTTCTCTTATTCTTCTTGTGCTGGGCGGTTTATAAGGCTTTTTACAGTCCCGAAAACTTTAGTTTAGAAGGGCTTATCAGGCTTTTACCCAATGCTCGAACGGGTTCTATAAGTAGTTTCGATGGTGTTTAAAGGGTTCCTCAGTTGTTAGAGGATGTTGTAGGTTGGGTTTACGTCGAGGGGCCTTTACATTTAAAGCAAGTTTTCGGATTTGGCCGCGGAGTTTCGGGCCTGGCTTTTTAATGGCTTCCCTAAACCCTAAACCCTGAACCCTAAAGCCCTAAACCCTAAGAGTTCTGGGGCTTTGTTCCCTAAGCTGTTGGGCTCCCTTGGACTTCTGGGGTAATGAGGCTGCTGGGCCTTGGCTCCCAAAATTGAAATGCCTGTCCCAATCGCAAACTTTTGTTATGTCAATCTCTGGTATGTGTGTATATATATATACATAAATGAATGTATATGCACATACAAATCTCTCTCTCTCTATATATTTTTTTTCATGCCTATGTGTACTTATACATGTATATATATATATATGTTTATATTTGTATGTGTGTGTATATATATATATATTTGTTTATATATTTATATACTTATATACCTTATATGTACACATATACGAAAGGAGTCATGTAACAAAGAAGAACAAACTGGTCAAGGGTTCACCCACACTTCGTGTTGAATTACCTTGTGTCCCTGTCATGACCTGCGGCTACTCTTCGCAAAACTGGCTAACACAGGGGCCTGAAGGAGTTGAATAAGTAAGGTGATATCTGTGGTATAACGACATGTACTTTTAACGCCATTGCCAGATTGACCCTGAAGGTCCATGCCACGTAATATTACTAAGTTTTCCGACATGTTTTTTAACCACCTACAGAAACCTAACTCAACAGTGGACAGTCTAGAAATTACATCCCATTTGTATTCCACAATGTCATTATACTGAAATCTACCGCAAAACCTATTCTAGGTAAACCTAAGGCCATACTACATAAACAGTTCCGGACATCTTCATACTGTAACCTCCCCCAAAAACCGATTGAAGACGGAACCTCAGGCCACGGCCAAAAGAGCTCGATCAATCTGTTGCAGCAAGCGCTGCACAAGCTTGCCCGATCCTAGGAGGGCGATGCTTCAGGGTTTAGGGGTTTAGGGTTTAGGGGTGTATAGGGGTTTAGGGGTTCAGAGTTTCCGCCCACAATGTTTTGTTAAAAGTCTAAAGCTGCATTCGTCTTCAACACTCCTCCAAAAGTCACTCAGACTCTATACAGTAAATCCCGAAACCCTACGCCCAAAGGCCTAAGGGCTCAGGGCTGCAAGGTTCCGCACTTCGGTGCTTCAAGGGTTGAGGCGTCCTTGCACTGAGGACTCAGGTGCCCTGTGAGGATGCTCTGTGGTTTCGAGTTAAAGGAACAATTAAGGGCTTTTCAAAGGGCTGTAATAGCGTTACCATTGCAATATAGGTGTGATAAAGCTTGAGTGAGAGAGTGAGAGAGAGAGAGAGAGAGAGAGAGAGAAAAAAAAAGCATGTCGCCCGTTGTTTGGCACACCACCGGATCATGGATGGAACTGCACCAACGCCTTGCCCAACATTCAGCCACTGACCCAAAGAGCCCGATACCCCCTGTATTGCTAGAACATGTCACACTTTAGTCACTATAGTTTAAAGAATGTCGCTTCGTTCAGAGGTGTTGGGGCTATTCGGGAACGCAGGAAGTGGCGAGTCCAAGTTGGTCTTGTTCTTTTCTTCCAGAAAGCACTGAAGGGATGTTTCATGGTTACGGCCATGTGAAGGGGAAGTCCTCAGCCAAGTACGCAACCTTGTATGACATGAACATATAAGCACTTGCCCGAGCCAGCTGCCTTGCACAAAAATAAAACATGTCACGATTTCTATGTCAGCTTCCCGTCTGTGAGTGGTACTCCTAGCAGCACAACAACACTGCATTCACAACGGCAGCACTGGCCATGTCTCAAAAGCCTATACTCTCATACTGTTTTGTGTTTGCATGCGTCCCCAACCATTGTAAGCACAGTCGACAATGCTAACTTATTGACCATTATGTCAGGTCTGACGTGGTGGCAACATGACTCTGCGGGTCAACTCCTGGACAGGCAGCGCGGTGTGCGCACGGCTTTCCGTGTGACAACTCTGAACCTTTGCGGTTCCAGTATATGTTTAAAGATGCATACAAACACACACACACACACACACACGCGCACACACACACGCGCACACACACACACGCACACACACACACAGGTATATGTATATGTATATGTATATATATATATACACGCAGTTATACAAAAACACATATATATATATAAACATGCACATTCATAACCCACAGAGTGACACCAAGTCCGAAGGCCAGGATTCCATCCCCACACGGAATAACTGATCCCACATCCAAAAACCCCCTACCAACCTGAGATCCCGGTGGGTGGAAATTGCAACAAAGATGCTCTCGGCGCGATTATGCATGCCAGTCTGCAGACACGTTCCGATTTACTGTATAGGCATATACATAGGCATTCAACGCAGGGTTTTGGTTTTTGCATTGTTTGGGACTTCTTGCTGCCTTGGGGGCTTTGGGATGGCTTTTGGTTGCAGCATCCCGCAATTCGAACTTCATGGTGCCGGGTCGCAATATCCAAATTACTGCCATTGCGTGCTTGTTTTTGGGGCTTAGGTCTGCAAACTTCCGGATCTTCTACAGTCTTTTTGCAACCACCATCTCCGATGATTGGTGGTAGAAGGCATGCTTGCTGAATGAGGCCGTCGCTTTAGACTTTAAATTCCGCGGGCTGGTGTTACAAACTCTGTGGTCGAAGTTCGCAGCCCCGGAGCTGACACGGCCCTTTGGTGGCAAACACGGATACCCTCTACCCAAAGCAGCAGTAGAACCACCAGCAGTAGTCGCAGTAGTAGTACTTGTAGTAGTAGTCGTCGTCGTGGTAGTAGTAGTAGTATACTAGCAGTAGTAGTCGTAGTAGCAGCAGTACTAATAGTAGTAGAAGCAGCAACCAGAAGTTTAAGTGGCCACTACGTTGTCGATCTGATGGTGGCTGTTATGATAGTTGGGGTAGTCGAAAAAGTAGATGTCGAACAAGTTGCTGGCATGAGAGTAGTCACCGTCGTAGCGGTAGTACGGTGTAATAACAACTTTGCAGTAACTGCAGCAGCAATAATAGTAGTAGCAGCAGAAACAATCAAACCGCATCCTGTCCTTTAGTGAGACGAACAAGCGGACCTGCCGCTGCCTGCTGTGCGGGACGAAAGACCTGCGTAGCGGCAGGTCTAAACCCTAAAACCTGAACCAAATCGGCACCAGTAAGCAGGTTCAGCGTTCAAGGCCAAACGGCCTGACCCTCTTTGACAGGAGTCATGACGTATTGTTTCATATTGAAGATATCGTACCATTGCCTAACTTACTACCTTATACAACCAGTTACCAATTAAAATGAATGTGTGCATCACATCTAAAACTTCAGAACTTTTGCAGCGTTATATTGCAACATGCTACACTGTAATTGTTTTATGATGTTCTATGATTTTATATGATACTCTGTTTCATTATACTCTGCTATGTTCTGCTCTATTGTATTATATCGTATCTTTTACTGTTGCCAAATACCATGTACCGAAATGTTATATTTAGATCCTACAATGTGATGCTGTAATATAGTAGCATATCCAACATCGTATACATTAAATCATTAAATATTGTATACCAACACATAGCGATAACATTTTATAAGCATGCATACAAGCTATAGATATATACATATGCACCCGTCTATAAATGAATAAATCAATATATACACCCATACATACGCACATACATGCGTGATTGTATGCCGCCCAAAACCCCAAGTTGATGCAACACGACAGGCCTGGTTGGTGAAGCAGTTCGTGCTGCTGCGCGCCACAGCTGCATCACAGCAGACCTCAGACCACCATACCACATCTTACACACCGAACATCGCCGGAAGCAAGAACGGCACAACTTCAAAATCCAACGCGAAGGCCTTCGGCCCGGCGCAAAACAACCTATGTCATCCTCTCTCTTGACCGAAGAGGAACACGAAGCGGTCCCTCATGATCACAAGAGTCACAAGAGCGACCATTACCAGCATGACACCGTGGACATCGAAAGACACGTCTTCTCTGTGGTGCGTGCTGTGTATTCTTGTACCGCGGTAATTGAACTCTAGGCCGCGAGTGATCGTGCTGGTGGTGTTGCTGCCGTGGCTGGTGGTGGCGGTAGTAATGGCGGTGGTCCTGGGCGGGGTGGGGCTGGTGTCGTCGCTGTCCCCAGTTCGTCGTCGTCCTCCTCGTCAGACGATCGTTGTTGTCTTGCACTGTGGAGGCTGCCGCCGAAGCTACTTCCTTACTCGCCCCATCGACTCGTCACAGACACTGCCGAGCAGCAGGAAAGGCTTCCATGGCAATAGCAAGGACTCCTCCAAAGCAATATACTGTAATGTACCATAACATGCTACAATGAACTGCAACATATTGACATATGATAAGGAAATGAACCAAACACACACACACACATATATATATATATATATATATTATAAATGTATACATAAACATATGTATGTATGTATGTATGTATGTACGTACGTACGTAGGTATGTATGTATGTATGTATGTATGTATGTATATCATAGATAAAAATGGGTATATATATACACACACACATCTGTATTTATTTCTCTTTTATAGATTTATGTTTATATTCGTCTTCATGTTTATATTTGTATTTGGGATCTATGCAAAAAAATGGTCCATTACAATTTCATGGGTCGAAACCCCAGCTTGCGGCATTGGACTTGAAGCCTTCGGGTGCAGATCTGGGAAGCGTCGAAACCGAGAGCAGCCGCGGCTAAGGCTTCTATGTAGGAGTTAGGAGTGATATAGACCCCTTTTTAAGAGAGCCCCTAACCTTAGAGAGATTCTTGGAGATATAGACCCCTTTTTAAAGAGAGCTTTAGACAGATTGCAGGGATTAGGGCCAGGGCTAGAAGGATTCAGGGCTTTAGGCCGGGACCTTGAGTGTGAAATGCAGGAGTTCGGATTCTGGGGACGTTTGGGGATGTAGACCCTCTGAAGAAGGTCCCTTTGAAGAGCCAGAAGTAGGGTTAGGATGCGTACCCTTTTAGAGGCCTCCCTAATGCTTCCTGGGATTTAAGGCTTCTATCGGCTCAGGGCTTAAGGCTTCTAGGGCCTTTGGGGTTCGGGGTTCAGGGTTTAGGGATTGGGGGCCTGAGGATTCCTTTGAAGGTTCTTTTAAGGGTCTCATGGAGAGCTACCATAAGGAGCTCTATAAGCGATCTCTAAATCTCAACTATAAGGGGTTCTTTAAGGATTTTCAGGGCTTGGGCTTATGAGCCTTGATAGTTGGACCCGGGTCTTGGCGTTTTACTCAAACAGTTATACCGATACTCCAAGTTGTCCTGCATCACGCTGTTTGCATCCTCCAGCCTCAGATGAGGTTTAGGGTTTATATGGCTTACGGCTTAGGGTTTTAATCCGAACAGTGACGTGCTGAGGGCTTACGGGCTTAATATCGGAAACCTGCCTTGAAGTCGGCAGCAAACTTGCATGGACTAGTTCATGGGGCTGGCCCTCACAATGTGAAGAGGCGATTTGGGGATGACTGCCACAACCTTCGACCGTAAAGGTTTTGCAAAGCTTCATAGGTTCGGTTTGTTAGCAAAAACGGTTAAAACGGGCGGGAGTGTTCTGGTTTCGCTAGGTTTTTGTTCTGAGGATCCCGAAATTCGCAGGTCGGACAGGATTGTAGTAGTCTGTCCTACTTCTCGGCTACCTACCGAAAAACCCTTCAAGCCACCAAAACTGGAAAACTCCGACGTGACTGCCGGCATAAACCGCGAAACGCTCATCATCCGAGCAAACCTCTCTACAGACAGATTTGAACCCGTGCATATCCCTCGAGAGGGGCATTAAAAGAATCCTCAAAAGATCCCAAGTAACAACCCCTTAAAGGGCCCTTACAAAGGACCTTAAAGAACCTTCAATGGAATCGGCTTGCTGACAAAGTGCAAGTCCTCAAGACCCTCGATGGGCCCTGGATCAAGCCGGAGAGGTCCTCGGAAAGCTTGAGTTGGTGGAGTTCTAGGGTTTAGCTATGTTCTTGTTTTTTTGAGGGGGGGGGGGGGGGGGTGCAACCCGCCCAACCAAGCCCGAAGCCCGAAGCCTTCCAAGCCCAACCCCAAGAACTCAACCAACAAGCCAACTCACCAAGCCCAAGCCCAAAAACTCAAGCAACACGCCGACACAGAACCTCTCACCCCAATCCCCACCCCATAAACTCAACCAACGAGCCAACACACCCCTCAACCCATAACCTTATGCAAACCCAACCCTAACCCGTCAGTGTATGGTCGCCCACAGTTTATACAACAAAGGAAACAAGACAAGTTCAGGACAAACGCACTTTTATTTAGGTCGGAGTCAGGCGTATTTGAGACATCAGTTGCTGAAAGTTTGAATCATCAAGAAGATGTTTTGGAAACCTACTTGAAGAAATATTACCTATATGAAGTGTATATATCTTTATAATGACGATGTATAAGTTGTATGAAGACGTTGATGAATGCCTTATGTGCGAACATAGAGCAAAAATAAACAAATCAGTAACAGTGATCCCTTAGCACATAACAGAAAGCATAATGATGTTTGCAGGTTGCAAAAGGTGCGAGAAAGATATTGAAATGATTAATTGATGAAGTAGAGGCATTAAAAGAACAAAGGGAGACACGAGAATTAAGAATACAGATAGAAAAGACATGACATAGATTATCAGATGGTATGGAAAAGAAGATGGCATATTATTGTTTGTCTAACCAAATTCTTTTATAATCAATATCATAAATAAAACTCTACAAAGGGGGTTCTTAATAAAAACTCGACAAGGGGTTCTTAATGAAACTCTACAAGGGGGGTCGGCCCGTTTTTTGCGTAAGATTCTACATAAGATTATGTAATATTTTCTCGGGTTAGGGTTAGGTTTTGCACAAGGCTATGGGTTGAGCGGTGGTGTTGGGTTGTTGGTTGAGTCTATGAGGTGGGGGTTGGGCGGTTTCGGGGCGGTTTATTTCGGGGCATGGTAGGGTGCTAGCTGAGGGGTAAGGTCCAGGGTTTAGGGATTACAGGGTTCAGGGTTTTGCAGTTGAGTATTTCTATATTGTACACTGAGAGGCAATGCAAAAGGGGGTTTGGGCTTGGAGTTCAGGTCCTTTTGGGGGCTTTGGGCTTACGGTCTTCGTGCTTTGGGAGTCTAAAGTTTCAGTGCAGGCTTCGGCAGACAGTCTCTTGTCAGGAATACACCCCGCTAAACCCTACACCCTAACCCCAATCCCCGAAACCCCTAAACCCTAAACCCTCAGCTTTTTGGGCTTTCCATTCAAGGCCCACATGGGCGCAGAATTGACTTCGGAGTGTGGGTATACAAGAAGGGGCCTTAACGATTACGTAGAGCAAATAGTTGTTTTTTTGGGGGAGTAGACTGTGCTGCATAATGTATACCGTAAGGAAGAATGTTTGCAACTATTTTGCCTTCACGTCCCAAGCCCCGCTGCTGGTGGTGCTTGTAAACCAGGGTGTTAGGGGCTTAGGCTTAGAATTGTAAAGAAACCCGAGTTACTTTGGCTGTAGGGTGACACGCAGTCGGCATGTGAGTTTCGAGGGGCTCGTCGGCTCGGTGCAGCAGCAAAACAAAGGTTGCACGACCCTCTGTTTGAGCCGTCATCACGGGGTGCTATTGGTGGATTGCTGCGCAGAGTGGCAATGGTTGGTTTCCTGTGCCAGCCCCGAACGCAAGCCTACCTGTGTGAAGCTTGACACATCTTTGGCGTTTGAACATCTGCTGTTCCCACTATGTAAAACACGATGTTGTTTGGTCATGACTGTGTTACTCGGCCTTCGTAAGACTGGTGTTTTGTAGTGGGTTTCTTTGGGTCGCAAAGGTGTAAAACCTGCGGACAGGCGGATCTTCACCTGCCCTTAGAAATCTATCTTCTCAGGGTTCCGTAATATGATTTCCTTAAGAAATCTCTTAGACTTAAGAAGGTAGGGTTATTTGAGGTTTAGAACTTAAGGTAGGGTTTAGGGTCTTCCGCCAGGTTTCCGGGTGATGACTCCTTTGCGACTGGGAGGAAGCTTTCCCCACGGAGGCCCACCTTGCTTGGCGTTTGTTTAAGCTCATCTTTCGTTTCAGCCTAGCCTAACAAAAAAGTTCAGGGTTTGGGAGAATGTAAACTTTAGGGTTGCAGGAATACGGGTGCAGCGTCTCATGCAACGACTCATGCTACAAGGCGCTTGAGGATCTAGAATCTAGAATCTACAGACTATGGTTTTGTGATGATTGTGTGTCGGTTCTTTTGGCGGTTTGTGTGGCTCGATTTTGGCATCGGGGTTTCCAATCTTGGAGATTGCTTTCGGGTGTTATTCGGGGTCTAGATTTTGAATCCCTTAAAGTTTTTGAAGCACTCATAACGTGTTCTTAGAAGAAGCTGAATGGGACTTAGCAGGCACTGGAAACATAGGGGCAGACTAGTGCCTCGGCTACGCGTTTTATGGCGTTTGTAGGTAAAACAGACATAGACTTTTGTGGCTTAGGATTCGGAGTCAAGGGTTATGCACCCACCGCCACCCCAAAAACAATAAAAAACACACAAACACACACACACACACACACACTGACTGACGATCGAACCGCGCACGCAGTTCTGGAGCGCACGTTGGTGCATAACGTCAACATTGTCCAAGGCCATGTTGATAATCTAGGATGATGGGTCTATGTGTTTACGGTTCAGGGTTCCGCATCCGAGCTATACGATCGCTGGTCATGCTGCGTGCAAATTCATCTCAACACCCGAGAGCCTACGCCCTTAATCCAGCTGGAAACAAAGCCTCAAAGTCGAATCGTCCCAAACTCTTCGAGACTAGACACCTCGAAGAATTTGAAGGGCTTAGAAGTGTTTTGGACCTATGCCTATACCGTACATCCTAAACCCTACACGCTAAACTCAACCCTCAAACCCCAAACCCTAAATCCTAAGCCATCAAACCCCTAAACCCCCACACCTGAATCCTAAGTCTAACTAAGCCGGCTTTTGTGCGACCCACAGAGCTCGGAAAGCGGCATCTTTGCCCAGCGCGACACGGAAGTCGGTAAAGAACCGCCAGGCAGAAACCACGGACCAAAGCACCCGCGTGCGCTCCTGAAGGGCTCAGGGTGCCGGGTTAGGGTGTAGGGTTTGGGTCTTTTCGTAAACAAAAAAACCCTAAACTCTGGATGCTAACCCGAGTTTAGGGTTTAGGGGTCTAGGGTTTAGAGGTTTAGAGTTTGGAGTTTAGGGTGACATATACTAGAGAGTGAATCAATAAGGGCTAGAAGGGAATACTCTTACTCAGTATTCGACGGCTATAGTAGTTTCTTTGTTTAGTTTGTGGTATGCATTGCAGGCTGTGTGACAGCATAGCTTCAGAGTTGCAAACATGTAAAGCCAACCTGGTGTGGGCTCATCAACAACGATATCCTATCTAGCTTTGGTGCTTAAGGACATTGACTTGAGATAGGAGTACACCTGTATCATCCTGTAACTAGCAGCTAATACACCATAACAACAATACAAACCAACAAGCTGCACTAAAGCATCGTAAATCCCAAGCCTAATCCAATCGAAACCGGCAACATGCAGCCGTCCTGCCAAAGGCGGCTGTGTAGAAGGTTTGAAGCCCACGTCCGTGAGTGGTCGGCCATTTCCTCGTTGCTTCCCCAACATCCTCTTGATAATCAGGGTGCCCTTGCCTTTGAATTAAGTGCCAATATGGACCCAAACTGCCCCAAACTGAAAAGGGTAAAAGGCTGTTCCTGGGGGAGCTAAAACCGAAACCCCAAACCGGGACCGAGTTTCTTGAAGCCTGCCCTGGGTTCGATGCCGGCGGTGCTGCAGTGCCACCCAAGCAGCCCAAGCATCCAGAAGAGCCCTGGGGGGTGGAACCCTTGCATGCTGCTTTAGGGTTTTGGGTTGAGGGTTCAGTGTTGAGGCTTTAGGATTTTCCGGATCCAAACTCCCTTTTATTTTTGTCCTCTACTTACCTGCATATACCCCGAGCTACAGACATTGCAGGCTTCGACCGTCTTGAATGTGATAAACCCTGAACTTGAACACTAAACCCTGAAACCTTAAGCTTTCTACAAACCCTAAACTCTAGTCCCAGCAGCATGGCGCGGTATCTGGACTCCAGACGTTGTGCCAAATGGAGCAGGCGGCTGCGAGGAAGAAGTGCGAAGCGCCAGAGGGACCAGACCCACATCTTCGACAATTGCTGGCCGGAGATGCAGGCCTTGCTTTTGCTCAAAATCGGATCACCATTCGGAAAGTATGAGGTGGGGGGGGGACTCTAGCCGAATGAAGCGCCAAAGGCCAAAGGCTATACTGGACGACTAAGGTTCTGTTAACAAGCAATGACGTCGGAGCCGGATGAAGCGATCTGCCTGCTGCTCCTCATACCCTGCCATCCAGTCATGGCGGGCTTGAAGGACAGTCTCCAGGTCGACTATACCTGGTTCCCCGTTGGGGCCATATTAAAAATGATCATGGTTGATCCTTATTGCATTTTGTTATAACAAAAACATGTAAAATTGTATCCAACAAGGACCCAGATACGCTGTTGAAGTTGCTGCTCTTCTATCTGCTGCTCCACCTGAGCCTCCTGCATTTCCAGCCATGCAGTCTGCACCTCGCGCTCTTCCTCTCGCAGCTTCTGATGCCAGCAGTGCTGCTTTCGCCAGAGTAGAAGAAATGACCAGCCTTGGAAAACCTGCCAAAGATCCACATGCTCGCGGTATCACGCAACGCGCGTGCTGACATGAAGCGGATATCCCTTGACATGAACAGCATTGCTCTGCAGCTTCATGTATTGAGGCCATTTTTCCCGGAGGTTCGGTGGTGGTGGTGACAGGAGTGGGAAACCCTAAACCCTAAACCCTAAAAAGTGGTCGAACTTCTGATCCCACTGAGCACTGCAAGCTGAACCCAGGGACACCAGAGAAACAGAAAGCCGACCTCTAGAGCAGTTGACTCAAAACTCAACCAAAGCTATCCAAATGTACATGAGCCTGAAGAATTCGCACTTCTATTATTTCCAGGTCATGATCATTGAAAAGCATTAAGGCTCGAATATTCTGCGATTGTAGCAAATTATGTAAGGAACCCTCAGGAAAAAACACATGCCTAAGTAGGTTTTGATGCTTATCCTACACCAAAAACCCTAAACCCTAAACCCGAAAATCACTATACACCTTACGCCCTAAACCCTTAACCCTACACCCTAAGCCCACACCCTCATACCCTCATCCAGGCCTCCCGCAGCACGAGAAGCTTGGTGTGCAGGCCCCTCGGACTGAGGTGCTCTGGTTGTAGTATATGATATATATATATACACACACACACATTTATAGATATAGTATGTATGTCTGTCTGTCTGTCCGTCTGTTTGTCTGTCTGTCTGTATGCATGTTTGTATGTCTGTCTGTCTACATGTCTACATGTCCGTAAGTGAATAAGTAAGCAAGTATGTATGTATGTATGTATGTATGTATGTATGTATGTAAGCATGTGTACATGTATGCATGCATGCATGCATGCATGCATGCATGCATGCATGTATGTATTCCACGGTATATAAGACATAATGTCTGTTATAGGCTCATGTTATGTTACATCATATGCCATGCATTGTTATCCATTTTGATACTTTACATATTGTACAGGGTTTGGCAGGCTGTGGGAGTTTAGGGCTTCAGGGGAGCGCAGAACAATCTGACCTTGGAACCAGCTGTCGGTGCCAGTTCGGTGCCGCCAGGACAAAGGAAATCTGCATTGCCACGACAAAGTTCACGTATGAGTGCATCGAGTTCCAGTGAATCGATGCCCCCAACCACATCAACATCCGCTGTGACCCCATCCGTGCCCCAGAGCACCCATAGCCCATGCATCAAAAAGTAAACATCCACTACGATCGCATCCGTTCTCCAAAGCATGCGTGGCCCATCCATGTAAACTCCGTGTCCGAGTGCATCCGTTCCCCACAGCATCCACGGCACAACCATGAAAACGCCCTTGGTCTAAGTTGTAGCCGTGTAGCAAATCATTCAAAAATCACCGTACGCGTTTTTGTAGCCATTTCGAGCACTTTTGCGGCAAACACCCTCAAGCATGGAACGCTGCTAAAGTCTTGCGCCAGACAGCTCAATCGACCGCGCATCGAAATTGCAGCCAGTTGTCTGCACCGAAGAATAGGTCCCCCTAAACCCCTAGCCCCCGATGAAACCCTAAATCCCAAAACCCCTAAACCCTAAACCCCTAGCCCCTAAACTTGCAAGCCCAGGGGGAGCTCCGCAGACGCGGAGGGCCTCTCGGGCTTAGGTCTACTGAGGGCAGCGTTGCAGTTGACGTCTTGGTACGGTGTAGATTTACGGGTTTAGGGCTTTAGGGTTTCGGGGCTTCAGGGTTGTGTGGTTTAGGATCTTAGGGTCTAGGGTTCAGGGTTTGCTGGATGTTTTGGAGTGTGATGTTTGCAGTTTATGGTTTGCAAAAATCTACGGTCGAAAGGTTCAAACGGACTTGTGGTCAGGTCTGGAGGTCCTTGTCCTTGGGACCTTACTATCTAGGATTTAGGGTTTAGGGTCTTTACTGAGGTCCCTATTGCTGTCTGACAGTCCCACGCATGGGTTTCAGCCGATCACTTCTAAGTCCAGGTTGCTTTGTGTTGGTACGACAGGCGCCCCACACTCAAACGCTAATACAGAATCCTGAAAAAAAACAAGGATACTGTTTCTCGGTTCCTTAATTGCTATACCCTGAGTATAAGATACCCCAAGAACCTGATTCAAACAGGTAAGGCCCCTGTATCACGCCCCGTGGCATGGCATTGAGAAGTGCCGTCGTCCGGGTCCAGAAACCTTCGGCGGTGGTTCAGTTTTGAGTGGGGCCTGCAGGTTTGGCTTCTGTGGGATGTCTGTGGAGTGATGAGCGCACTCAGGGCATCAGCACGGTTTCGGCGAAGGGTTGTGGGAGCTTGCGAGTTGCTAGCATTGTATCTACGTGTAGTTCAAGGGGCCAGGATTAACATAGACCGTCGGAATGTACATCAAGGATAAATAGTCTTAAGGATGGAAGGCATACAGCGGCTTGGACCATAAGGATTCCTGAGAGCCTTCGCTTGACATTCCATATAACTAAAATTTCAACCCGAGTCGGGATGCTGTGTTTGTATAGTATGCGACAAAGCGCTGCACCATGTCTAGAATAGAAATTAGCTGTGGCAGGTTCTTCCAATATACCGTACTACTAACGGAGACACTTTATCCTTGTAGTGTAGTGGGAAATTAGCATTCCGTACGCGGAGGTTGGCTTATGTGACATGCATGTATTCACTCACTCTCTCCCTCCCTCCCGCCCTCCCTCCGTCTCTCCCTCTCTCTCTCTGTCTCTTTCTCTCTTTCTCTGAATATATACATATACACATACACACACACACACACCCACAGTTACACACACACAATTGTCATGGCGGCTGTCCGTTTCCGTGTAACCCTTCAAAGGTCATTGAAACTGGAGTGCTACAATGTGCTACAGTAGAGACTAAAGTGAAAACACACTGCTTACTGACCTGGGTACAGATCGACAACTTAAACTCATGCTCCTGATGCAGTATATGTCGCGACAATACAAACATCATATGTATGTATATGCTTCCCATTTGCAGGAATATGGTTGCATTTGTTCATTTCGTTCGGAAGTGGCGGGTGCGTGCTGTGTACTTCAAGTACCGTAGCAGTAATGCATACCATGCGAATGCAAACACATAGACAGTATATGTATAGGCATCTGCATGCATCTTTGCATGGCATGTGGCATGTGTGAACATGGAAATGCATGCAAGTGCTTGTTTGTTCATGTGCATACCCTCACTATGCTTACACACACACACACATGAATGGCCTATTGTGAGCACTAGGATGTGTATATGCATACGCGCGTAGCATACTCTTAAGAACTCCAAATACCCAAAACCAAGCCCCATGACGACCTGCTCTTTAAAGTTTACCTGCCCTAACCCTGCGTTCTAAACCCTGCACCCTGCACCCTAAACCCTACATACACGATACACCCTACACCCTAAACCCCACACCCTGCATGCAGGCTACGCCCTACACCCCAAACTTAAGCCCCCCCTATGCCCCAAGCAGTCAAGAGGCCGTCGTCCCACAGCGATGCCCTGGACTCCTTGGCCCCCGGCTGCTGGGTGGAAACCTGGAAGTTGCTGAACACCCGGGTTAAGGGTTACATAAATGTAGCACCGTTTACGATACATATACCATGTTTTCATTAGGCAGCATCAAATAAATAAGTAAACATATAGATATATGTCATGTATATGTATGTATGTATGTATGTATGTACGTAGGTAGGTAGGTAGGTAGGTAGGTAGGTAGGTAGGTATGTGTTTGACTGTGGCTAAGGAGCTAGAAGGGTAGTGGATCTGTGATGCATCGGGGGTTGGATTTGGGGGTTCAGGGTTTCGGGCAGGGGTTCAGGCTTTAGGGTTTCGGGGCTAGGGGGCCAGCATCTAGTCGAGGGTTTAGGGTTAGATAGCTGGGTTGTAGTGTAAGGGCACCGGAAACTGTTTTATACACAGGGTGTCGGGCTAACACCGTACAGGGAAGATGTTGCTACGAAGTCAAAACTAGCCATGATAGCAGCAACGATAGCATCAGTGCATCAGCACTCACAGTCGCTGAAATCGTCAGACTAAGAAAACATGTCTTGAACGATACACCTACGACGGCAGACACGGTGACACCCAGGGAATAGTAGCGAGATTAGCAGGAGTTTCATATTTCAGAGCACCTCCTGCTGTTATATAAGCTCTGTCACTTAGCCTTGCGCTTTCTACATTTCCGAACTTCCGGATTAGGCTAGGAACTTCTGTAGACAAAGTAGGACGGCAGTCCTGTCGAGTGCCGTTCCATGCTCGTTGAGGGAGTGTACGCGATTAATACCTATCAGAGTAAGTCAATAAGTCATGCCGACAATAACAACAAGAACTGGCACGGATACTCCTGGAAGCACAAGGAGCTCTGAACCCTCTCTCCCGATGCTTGACGGGCACTCAATATGCAGTCAACCAGCCCAACTACAACTACAACCAGAACCGGCAGAAAGGATGTTCTCAAATTCTCAAACGAGATCATACACAATCATGCACGGTGACCTAGGAATGTAGACGTTGGAACTTTGCTCGGAATCAGACCGCGTTCCTGCAAGCCCTGCACCCATCACGGCTCTTCTTGCGGCCGCAATGCTTCAGCCCCACCTGCTTCTGGCTTAGGGTTCAGGAGTTTGGGGTTCGGGGTTCCGGGCTTAAAGGCCTAGGGCTTGTAAGGTCTGGGCTTAATGCGTCGCGCGACCCTGAACCAGCTGCACCACCTGTATCCTTAGCTCGCTTGCCCAATGCCCTTAAACGGGATCGCAACAGCCGTACCTCCCGTTCCTTCCCGGTTCCGCAACCTGGCCACTCTGTTGTTCTACGTATGCCCATCCACCCCTATATAACCCCCCTTTGAAGGAACCTATCGAAACAAAAAATCAAAATCCTTGCTCACGCAAAGTCCCGGTGCCCGCCTTCCGTGCAAAAGATCAGGACGGCCCATGCTGAGAAGCATCTGAGACTGGGTTCTTGTTAGGGGATTTCATTTAAGTTACCAAAATAAGGAAACCATACTATTTACTATAGATCCCCATTATTCAACTTAAATTGAATCCCTTAACAAGAACCCAGGAGATCGAGGCTGGGATCGACGGTATGGAAATTGGGGCCTGGGGTTTTTAGGGTTCACGATAGCCTTTTGGGGCCTACTTAATCCCAATTATTCAATTATGGGGCTTTCGGAATTTAAGGGTTTTTGGATTTTAAGACCCTTAACCCCAAACCATCTATAGTTAAACCCGGAGGGCCTTAGAGCGTGGTGAACGGGTAGTGTGTCTCACGTTCAGGGCTTGTCTCCAATGTCGTTGTGGATGGAGGGTTCCCAAATGAAGTCTTCGCGTAAGTTCCCGTTTCGGATTTCGGGTTTTGGGATCCAAATGTCCGCATAAACACCACTTGTAAGTAGCCATTGCCGAAACATGCTTCGTCAAACCCTCAGATCCCCGAGCTCCGAACAGCAAGGTTTACGGGTTTAGGGATGGGAAAACACCCGTACTTCTCGAACTGGTGTGCTACTTGGCTTTTCGCTCCTCTCACAGTCCTCTGCTATTCCTGAAACCCCTAACCCTAAACTCCCCCCAAAAATCATCCCTGCTATAAGACCCGTAGAAGTGGCTTCATAACAGTGCGGTATTGGGACAACGGATCATACATGCTCAGAAGCCCTAAGGGTCCATGTGCCCGAATAGTACATACTTTAGCCTTGAAGTAGTCCCTATATGGGTAGTTTGGGGCCCAAGTATAGACTATATTTGGGCACATGGAACCTTAGGGAAGCGACTCAACTGCTGATTCTTTGGTGCGCTGCAATCTTCGACCCTTGGCCTGCTTGTAAGGCTGAGGGAACTCTCAAACAGCAAGTTTTAGGGTTTGGGTTTTAAGGTTTAGGGTGATCTTGTGGTTTGTGTCGTACAGAAGCTGTGTAAACAAACACAAGCATTGTTGCAGCACTTCTCATAATCTCGAATGTTCCAGGGCTAGATGCCATAGTTGGAGCTTATCCTCTTGACTGCCTCTATCCGATTCTACTCTCTTCGTCCATGTATCTGCCCACCTGTAGAGAATCCTTCCGCTCGAGTTGAACCACTCCTCTGCCACTGAAACCAAGCTTTCGCGATTCATAGGTTCACGGTGGCGTAAACCAAAACAAAGAAGATTGGGGGTTCAAGTTTCAAGGAATCGCGTTCTAGGCTCAGCTGAGTGGGAGAGCCGTATGAACGTTTGTCAGTTTCCTTGGGCGCTTGGGTAGCAGGAAACGTTGCTTTAGGGGTGTGCCTTAGACGAAACACATTAGCTTGTTCAGAGGTGCACTCAACAAACTCTTTGTGACTGTTCTTGTCTCTAGTTGTTGATATCACATCGATGGTTCATTGATTGACAGAAATACTGTCGTTATTCCGTTGGAGTTAGTGTTTATAATCGTAATGATGATATGCTGCTGCTTTTGGGACTTGTGGCAGTGTAAGACTTTGGAATGATCGCCTCAGTTCCGAGATGGAGACAAGGCTGTGACTGTCCATGATCCACTCTGCAGTCTTCCAGCTGTGGCTTTGACAAAACGAAACAAGCATTGTGAGTCCTTGATGACGAGTCGTCGTCGCATCTGACCGTGGTGACGGCTACACGCCCGCCAGATGTGGAACGTGATCGCCACAATGCTCCTGGCAGGGCGGCAGGGTCCTACAGGACCGTTGGTTTTGGCAGTTCACTGTACAAAGTGCTGAAACTCCAAAAAAGATCGATGCAGCTGGACGTTCCCTTTAATTTAGGTCGGAACACTTGGAAAGGTTTCCTGAGACTTGGAGATAATACTAAGGCACGGTATTGCTGCCAACTTGTGAAATCTCGAACTGTGTCCACATCTGAATGGAAAGGTATCTTCAGAACCAGTGGGCATGAACAGATCTGAATGTTGCCCAGGCAACTTTACAGAAGCTATACAACGGTTTTTCAACAAAACTTACCCCAAATGACAAAACCTTGCTTCGAAAATCCAGGACTTACCATAGGCGGCTGCATGAAGACATTCGTGTTCATCTGACTACCGACGTATGCATCTCCATCCATACATGTTACGTGAACGCACATGTATGTTGGTACGTAGGTACATACCTACATGTACATCATCTCCATGCATCCATATCTCTGTTTCCGTCTACTTCTGCACGCATACTTCTGTCGGTGTCGGTACATACATACCTGCCTACACAGATACGTACATACATACATGCATACTTGCTGGCTTGCTAACTTGCTTAGCTACACATAGGTGTGCATATGTATGTAAATACAGACATCTACACATGTGCTTCTTCATGCGCATCATGCGAATACCAAACCAGTGCGGCATCTTCGTACTTTGTAAACAAGCTTCTCTAACTCTAACATCGACACACCACAGGAGCGCTGTAGCTATCGTCATTGTAATCAGCTTAAGGTCAATTCTTGGGGTTAGAACAGTCGAAATTAGGGTGATTTCAGTCCTCCTGCAAGCGGAAGTGAAGGAGGAAACATACAGCAGATCTCGGGGAGTGGGCCTCGCGGCCACAATGCCTGGGCGCTGCTTGGACTGGGGTCGCGGCATGAAGCTAGGAGAGTAAGCAACTAGAAAGGCTTTTCTTACGGGTGGGTGCGTGCAAGCAGTTCTGGGGTACACGTTATTACGCTTACATTGGACATTCGGAAAGGAGACCACTAACCAGCGTTGGTTGTCCTGCATCACAGGGGCGAAAACGGCAGTGGAGACAAAAGTCACGTGTACACATCTCCCGCTGCACATCTTCTTACGTTCGTGTACACAGAGCCCCGAAGCAAAGCCCGCAAGATAGCACTTGTAAGCGCATTATTGGGAAGTCGCTGAGAGCATGGACGCAAGTGCGACCACTCATCGTCTGAAGAAATTTTGCGTCGATCAGCAATCGGGTTCCAAAAAAGATGCATGTTGTCGTGGGTAAGTTCTGAAAAGTCCTGACGGCAGCGAATCTTGCTGAAGAGAGACTGTCGTACTGATATCGCAAGTTCTTCTTTAAAGAGATGGTGACTGAACAGTTTGAGTTGCAGAGGTGTGTCGTCTCTATGTTTCAACCTAGATGGATCTTCTTCGCAAATCTCAGGGTCCAACTCCATGCAACTGTAAACAATGACATTATGTCTGCCAGCTCTAGTTGCTGGAAGCTTTCGGGTCGATGTTTTTAGAATTTCGGGCGCTTTTCCCAGATCCTTGATGGCGACGGGACTGTCTTGCAGAAGCTCTTTGCGACATGACGAAAACACATCCAGGATCCAAGCTCCGAAGCTACGTCGACCCAACCCCGCACTTTTTGGGGCAAGCCCCAGAATCACAAGAACCTTGGTGAGTCGTGGGCCATAAAGGTGTTAGGTTTAGGGGTTTAGGGTTTATAAGCTCTAAGGCAGACATGGGCTATGCACCTGCTGTAGGGCTGCAGCACTAAAGAACCAACTCGCCGTTGCATGCAGAAGCCTGACGTGCTGAAAGCCCCGCAATGGAACCCTATACAGCCTATTGAAGCAAGCATCCAAGCCGAACCAAAAACATTTTGAGGCTTAAGAATTTCCAAAGCCCTAAACCTTTGAGGTCAAGGCGCCGAAAGAAGGAGGTTCATTCTGCGGTGTCAGCCAGCTGGCATTCCGGGCTGACATGCCTTCCTACGGTTTAGGGCGTAGGGTTTGGATGCTTGGAGTTTAAGGGTGTTCGCTTGAGGGCTGAACAGAAAAATGTTGGTGTCACGAAGTTCTACTTCTGGAGGCTGCTGGTGCCATGACATGTCTCACCAACCTCAATTCACGTGTGTCGGAAACCCTAAACTGGCTACATGCTCTGTGCCATGGGCGTTCGAGACCTGTGGGAAATGGCCCGCAGTTGTCTGAATTTTCGGAGGCATGGGCTCGGGATTCCAATAGGCAGTCAGGAACTATCTTCAAATCTCCAAACCTGCAGCCCTTTCTGTATGTGTGCGCGTGTGTGTGTGTGTCTCTATCTGTCTATCTATCTATCTATCTACCTATCTATCTATCTATCTATCTATCTAAATATCTATATCTATATATATATATATCTATCTATATCTGTGTGTGTGTGCGTGTCTGTGACGGTGTCTGTGTCGGTGTCCGTGTCTTTGTATGTGTCTGTGTCTGTCTGTCTGTGTGTGTGTGCATGTGTGTCCGTGTGTCTGCGTGTCGTGTGCCTGTTGGTGTGTGTGTGTGTGTGTCTGTGTGTCTGTGTGTCTGTGTGTCTGTGTGTCAGTGTGTGGGTGTGCTTGTGTGTGTGTGTGTCTGTGTGTCTTACGGGGGCTACCGTCGTTCCTGCGAGACAGCAAAACATCCCGAGTGAAAAAGCAGCAGAAATCGTGGTGCCCCCAATAGACATACCTGTTCCAAGTTTGGGCTCTGTAGAGGCGGAAGCCACGTAAAGTAAACCTGATCGCTAAGTTTCTACCACTTCAAACTTATAAAAGCCCTGAAGCACAATCGAAAGGCACAAGCACCAAAACCCGAAAAGGTCAAGATGTCTGCAAGAGCTCGTGGCGTAGGCTTTAATTAGGGCAGCCACCCATGTGTTCGGGCTCTGAAAGATTGTTAAGCCTACCCTGGGCTCTATACTATATACAAGCCTCAAACCCCAGACTCAACCCTGAAATCTTCGACCCTAAACCCTGAAGCCCTGAACCCCCTAAAATCATTGAACCCCTAAACCCTGAAGCCGGAGAATTGGCTTTTGCGATCAATGCGTGAAACTGTCTGCCTCCGAGCAGTTCCCGGAGCCGCTTTGGCCAAGCAGGGCATCCGATATAGGGGCTCTCATAGTTGGAATAGGGCATGGGTATAGTCGGTATGGTGTAGCATACGCACAATAAGTAACAGTCACCACTAGCATTCATTGATGCAAACAAACTTTAATGTACCGCAGAGCCCGGCTCGAATTAGAAAGGCCCCTGTATCACTTCTGCTTCGCACATCTCAGACAATGCCACCAGAAATCTGCAGCCTCAGCGAGAAGCAAGGGCAGATTAAACTTCATCGAGCGTCCCTCCTCAGCCTGCACTCACTCCGAAAATCCCCTGAAAGAGGGCTAAGTGGTTTAAGGTCCCAAAGCCTACAAGCCTTAAACTTAACTAAATAATTACCAAACCCTAAACCCCGAACCCCGGGCCGCGGAATTGTTTCGCTCATTCAAAGTCGTGAACGACGACCCTGTCGACGTTTCCAGGTGCCCGCGTCGCTGTCGTCTATAAGCGCCGTGCTCACTCCAATTCACAGACGCCGACCTGGCCGACGCTTCCGAGCTGTTGCCCAGGCCTATAGGCGCCGTGCTCACTCAACATCTTGAACGACGACCCTGTCGACATGTCCAGGCGCCCGTATCGCCTCGAAGTCATCGATTTCATCAGCAGCAGCAGCAAAAGCAACAGTACCAACAGCGACGGCAACACCACGACCATTGTATTCATAGTCGTCACCATCATCACAGTAACAATCATCGACATCATCTCCACCACGATCACCACCGTTCGTCACATGTTAGATAGTCACTTAGACATCACAAATTGCAGACCTTCAGAGACGAGTAAGTAAATCATTCAGGGCCGGGCTGACTTTCGAGCAGGGTTATTGGTAAATCGACGAATCTGCAAAGGGATAAAGGGCTGTCGGAGTGCGACGCAAGATATGTGTTCAAACAACTGGAAGAGGGCCTTGCGAACGAGTATGCAATGAAGGGACTAAGCATCGAGGCTCCCCGATTGCGGTGACACCCTTATCTTGGGTGTCTAGAATCCGAGAAAACTCGATTCTTGTGCGACTCGGTCCTTGCTGCCAGCCGCCTTAAATCACGCTGGTCATTCTAGGGTTTAGGGTGTAGCGTCCCGTGTTTGTGAAAGGTCAAAGGTCCTCTTGAGCTCTGTGACTTAAAGCGCGTGGTCCGGGGGGACTGTGTTCGGTATGCAGCTCGCGGCTAGGACCGCACTCGATCACAAAGCAAGCCCCTGAGAGTTTGGAGGTTAAGATGAACCCCGAACCAGCTTCTCACCAGACATAGATGCACAGCTGCCTGCCAGCTTGCCAACTACTAACCGAGGGTGTCTAGTGTCAAGTTCCTTGCAACAAAGACGCCTGTCTATGATTTCTTGTCCGCTGCGACAACTATTTTCTCAGAAACAGGCCCTGTTCCAAAAGTATAGGGTTCAGCGCGTGAGGCTGCGTGAGATTCAGGACACTCAACTCCACAGCCCCAAAAACCCCAAAAGCCCAAACCCTAAATAGGCCCTAAACCCTGAACCCTAGATCCTTAAACCCTGAACCCTAAATCCTAAACACTGAACCCTAGATCCTAAATCCTACCACACCCGCCCTTGCCTCCAGTGCCTCAGATGGAGATTGTCTGAGTTCTGTCGGAGCTCCCGGTCTCTGGCCTAGCAAGAAACACAAGTAGTAATATAGTGGCCTTAAGGGTTAGGGTTTAGGGTTTAGAGTTTAGGGTTTAGAGTTTAGGGTTTAGGTTAACAATAGAGTAGGGTTCCGGGGTATATTGCAAGATCATTGTAGCAAAGAGCCCCAAGGAACTATTCGTAGCATTGTCAAAGCTTCTGTTTGTTGGTTCAGGCTTGAGGTGTGGGGGTGGGCACTGGGCATCATGGACATGTTCAAAACTCCTTGGGTTTCGGGGCATGTTGTCCTGTACTGTGAGGGTTTAGCGTCTACTAGGGGTTTATGGATTACGGAGGACTAGAGCAACTCGCCATCAACAGTCGCAGCAACTACTAGAAACGTACCGGGCAGACAGAAGAAACCATGACCGACGAAGTCTGCCATCAAGCTGGCAGGGGGCGATGCCAGCCACTGTCAAGCAGGCATTTGTGTTTCCGTGATCTCCTGTAGGTGCGTTACCCTTCCCTAAACCCTAAACCCTAAACTTACCCTAAACCCCCTTCACTGTTACAAACCTACGCCATGTCAGATCTGACATTTGCCTGAAATCAACCCTACCTATAGTCTCCATTGTAATTCTTTTTTGGGGTTACCTTATAGGATCCTTAATATAATATTGGTTAAACCAAAACAAGGAACTACAATGGAGACTATAGGTAAACCTAGATCCGTAAACCCTACGGCAAAAGCTGGGACCGAACAGCACTGCGGCTGAGTGTAGCATTTGAGAGCCGGTACTCAATTTGAGACTAACATGAGGCTCTATTATACATGGTTTCGCAGGCTTGATATGGAAGCTTTAGACCATATGGGACATATGGATACCAAGCGCTAGGATATCTTTGTGCCAAAGATCTCCGATAAACCCTAAACCATCTTTAACCCTAAACAAGGACTTGATCGCAGACATCCCTGCACCGGAAAGTCGACAACCGAAGCCTCGAACCGGAAAACATGTAAACCCTCACAGCCTCACGGCCAAAAGCCCAAGTCAACCACGAACCATACTGAACCTAAACACGAGCGCCCAGAACCCAACACCGTCAATCCTGAAAGCGCGATGCTTTCCTTGAGATCTCTTATGCACCTCGTATAACCCTAAGCCCCCAGGTACCTACTATAGAGGGTACTAGAGCCCCTGGGGACCTATTTAGTATCCATTTTCTGAAGGCCCACGTCAGCCTGGGACTGACCCCCACCAAAGCCCGCCAAGCCTGGCTTGGGCCATTACTTCGCCGGCCAGGGCTCGCTACGATTCTGCTTTCCCAAGTCTGAAGCTCCCGAGACCCTAAACCCTTTTCTTTAGAAGAATTTATGGTTAGAGCCTAAACCCTAAACCCTTTTCTTTACAAGAGGTTAGGGTTAGAGCCGGAGAGTACAAGAAAGAACACAGATTGACCCTAGGCCCAGAAGCCTCGTTGTCCTGGATGGTGGGTTTGCGCCGGAGGCATGCGAACCATCCTGCCACAAGCACATTTGTGCATACATGCATGTATGTATGCATGCATGCATGCCGGTGTGAATGAATCAATGTATGCACGCATGCACGTGTTCCTGTATGCATGTCTGTCTGTACGTGTGCATGCATGATGTATGTATGTATGTATGTATGTATGTATGTATGTATGTATGTATGTATGTATGTATGTAAAAGGTAGCTTGATTGATGAATTGATTGTTTGATTGATTGATCGATCGATTGGTTGATTGACTGACTACTTGATTGACTGATTGATTGGTTGGTTGATTGATTCAGGGTTGGTTGATGGATGGATGGATGGATGGACGGATGGGCAGTTGGGGGCCCAAGTAGATCCGAACCCTAACCACCCCGATCGAGGACAGGCAGTCCTGTCTCGGGACGTACCAGAACACCTCCCCGTCGTCGCTGGTGATGATGCGTGGCTGACTGTCCGGCTGGGCGCTTGGGGCTTACGAGGCTGGAGGCGTTGAGGAATCACTGCGGTTCGGGAGTTTTCTTGGAGAGGCGTGGCTGGCACACTGCGCAGCATTGGAGCTTCGATTGAAGTGCTAACAGGAAGTCAAGAGGGGTCGAACCCTGAACCCTCAAAGTCCCTAAACGCCTAAAGGAATTTCACCGGGACTTCACCGGGTGCTCCCGACCGATCACGCAGAGTCTGGGCCTCGGAGGCTCTGGAGACTAACTTGGGAAGTTGCTCAGATGGGCGGCGCTTTTGGGATGTAGGCCGAGTTTC